TTCTACAACTCCGCCTGCTTCTAGTACATTAGTGCTTTGGACGCATTTGTTAATTTGTCAACCTCTTTTCCAGTTTTAAGAAACAAATACTAGCTGCTTTTGGAAAGTAACTATGTGATTTCCTTACTATAGCATCAAATCTTTAGGGAAACAGAAAAACCAATTGTGGACTTCTATTAATTTTCAAATAGATGCACTATCTCTAACAAGAATTAGATAGAATACATATAAATATATTTAACATTTTAGACAAAAATTCCCCTAAATGCAATCCAATCATATAGGTTTATTCCAATAAATATCTTCAAAAACATTATTATCAAAAATATTACCACCACACATAAATATTTAGAACAAAAACTGCAACAGCATTTTGTAAAAAGCAAGTTATGAGAAGTGGCATTAACTTTTGAAAAGAGTAAGCTTTTAGCTATAGCAATTAAAAAGAAGCTGATTCTGTCATAATTACTTTCTCTCAGCAAAAACAAACAGAGTTTTAAGCCCTCCATTCTGAAGCAAGAAAATATCTTGTTAAATACACTGGCAGACAATCACAACAAGAGAGATAAGTACTGCCTCTTTGGTTCTAAACTTGAATGCCTCTAAAACAAAAGGTGTCAAAAATTAATCACATTGATACTAAAAAATATAAGCTTCCCTCTCCTTGAATCTCCATGCCAAAGGACAAATGGGGGTGAAGTAGGTTAGAGAACTTGACTGGGGAAAGGAGTTCGATGGTGGTGGTCACCAGTCAAACTGTCGCCGAAGGTGGCCAAAATTGCAAGTTGAAGTTCTTGCGAGCTTAATTTGTAAACACCCAGGATTAATTTGTTCAAGCAACAACATAAAGGTTTAAGCTGCCAATTGTGCAATCTTCAGTATTCTCATGTCCCAAAATAATTTTAGCATGTGAGCAGAAGATTAGATGAAAATGAATGTGAGTAGTACCATGGTTTTTAAAAACGCTGTCACTTCCAAGAATGCCTTCAGCTATCACAACTCCACTGTGAAAGCAAAAAAGAAAACAGAACAATGTGACAACGTATTATTAAATAATGCACATAGCAATTTATTCGCGACAAGAAAGAAAAATAAATGAAGTTAGAAACATAAATAAATGGCACTGCCATATCATGTTGACAAGTAACCTGTTCATTGATCACTTGGTTTCAAAATTGGTTGCAGAGGAGATAGAACATACACCCATATCATGAATTACTGATTGCCCATCAAACTAGGAAATAAAAACACGTTAAGCCAGTAACAATACTTATGCGTAGTTCACACGTGAACATAATAGGACTTCTCATGCCTAATCTAGACTTAAAGAAACTCAAACCGCTTCTCTAATCCCATTATTGTCAAAAGCTGATAAAAAGCATTTCTTAGTAGTTCTTCAAGATCATTCTTAGTAGTTCATGTCCCCCATCTATAAAACCCCTTAGAAGTAAACTTGTGTTTTCTATAAAGATTCGATCTTATGGATCCACAAACCGTTACAAGGCTCGATTAGTGGTTCTTGATAACAAGAAAGAGTATGGTCTAAACTATGATGACATCTTTGCACTAGTAGACAAGATGACAACCGTAGGCACCATACTATCCCTTACTGCATCTCAATCATGGTCTCTACATCAAATGGATGTTAAGAACACGTTCTTATATGGTGATCTCATTGAGAAAGTTTACATAAAACTTCTGCATGGTATGCCTACTTTCTCACCTAATGTTGCTTGTAAACCAAAGCGTTCTTTATATGCCTTAAAGTAGACACCGTAGGCATGGTTCGAAAAGTTCAAATTCACTTTTCTTGGTTTTTCATTTACACAAAATCAGTATGATTCCTCATTTTTCTTCAAATGACATTTAAAAATTTAGTTGTACTTTTTATTTATGTAGATGATATAGTAATCATTGGCTCTAATAAGGATAAAATCTCTGAAATTCAAAATTTGTTACATTTTTTTTTTCACATAAACATTTTTTCAAACAAAACGATGCACATTTGTGTATTTTGAGTAGTTATGAAACGGCAGCCATATTTTGCATTTTGATTTTGAATTTCAAAAGCAACACGACCTACTTTTTGAACAGACTTCATTTGCCCTACCTGCTTCTCCCCCCAACCTCTGCTCTAAACTGCTTCCACAAATGTCTTCTCTTGTTTCATCTCTAGTCGGATGCAAAGCTCAATCTTGTAGCTCAAGTAACATGGTAGATCCATCAGACTGTCATATTCTTGACCTCTCCCATCAGTTGTCTACAACTGGTTGCCATTTTTTTCCCTTTTCTGATTTGGATTTTCACATGGATGACTCGACATTGGGTGTGCCACTAAATTGATACCTATGTGTTTCTCAATGAGAGTCTTTAGTCTTTTAATATACATCTTGAAATTCACTAGGAATTGAAGTTACCTCCATTGGGCATCATCATGTTGGAATTTGTTCCAATAATTTAAAATATTACCTCTGATATCCTTTAAGAATTGAATAATAATTAGTGTAGAAAAAGAAAAAATTATCAAAAAGATTTTACTTATAACACGTGACTGCATAAGGAAAATATTGAGAAAAAAATACACTAGTTATGTATTGAATCACTGAGTCAACTCGAACAAAAAATTCACTTAATTAACTTAAATCAAAAACTTACTGAGTCAACTTGGCAATTCTTTACCACCTTGACTCAGCTCAACTTGGATATGGACTGGAGTCACAAGCACAGCAAAGGGGAGAGGCACCAATGGCTAGCACGCTCACATCTATGTGTAGAGAGTTGCGACAGAGACAAGTTAGGGTTCTAGCAGTTTTGCTTATGTCTAGTCACAGTCATGTAGTCACAGTCGTGATTGGGGCAGAGGGACGCTCCATGGCTGCATAGCAGAGGGAAGATGCGTCTAGTCACATCGGGACCATGTTTCGTGCTTCACGTTGGGGATGATGTCAAGACAGAGACATGTCCATATCGCACTTTGCATTTGAGCAAGACTAACAAAGCATTGTCTGATCGTTTGGTACAAAGAGGGTTGCATCTAGTCACAATTGTATCTAGTGATAGAGAAGGTCGCGTGACGAAATTGCAGCACAGTAAGGTCCTGGATGAGTGATTGGATGCGCAACTTAGGGTTTTGGCTCCAGTGATAAAGGCATGCCACTAGTGGCTGGCAAAAGTGGTTGACGATTGTTCTATAGTGGTCAGTTACGGAAACTGAGGTAAACTTTTTTAGGATTTTTCTTTTTCTATTTCGGGAATAAAGGCCGAATAGAATTTGTAAGTGAGGTTAAATTTTTTTTAATTTACAACTTTTATACCATGTTAAGAATGGATTTTTTATTAATGTGTTTTATTGAATAGTATAATTTTATATATATAGGTTTTTCAGGACGGAAAAAGGAAATAAACAATTAATTAAAATTAATTATAAATGATGCAATTTAGCTTTATACTCGTTAACCTGATTTATTTTTTCCTTAACACCTTAATTTACTTCTTTTTTAACAACCATACCCATTAACCTGATTTACTTCCTCCCTAACAATAGTTATTTATAAGTAATTTAATAGTTTTTATAGACAAGTCTTAGCAGTAACTGTTTTTAACCAAAAACAGAAACTGCTTATGTAATTTCCGTTGTATAAATTTTCATTGTTACTGTATGAAAGGTACGGAAGGAAATAATTAAAGGTGTTAAGTACTTATTTACTCAAGAGATTGTAGGGTTCTCTTTTAATGAGCCCTAATTTACTTCAAAATAAGTAAAGGTAGGAAAACACGAGCATTCAAAAAGTTCCGCAGATTTTCATATTAATCGTCCCATAACTAGATCTATTAGTAGGGACGATAACAATTTGGTATTAGAGCCACAAGTTATCGACGACTTATAGGCTATGTTTGAGTCTTTTCTGAAGAGAAGATCTTGAACAGGACCGCATCAAATTTGATATCTCGAATGGACGGCTGGAGGGACTTTCTGTTGGCCACACAGATAAGAGGGGAAATGGAGAAGGCAGTGTACAGCCTGGGTGTCAACATCACCTTGGCGATGAGTATGTGGCCAACAGGGCTGCTCCTTTTATTTCAAGGTACACTAAGTTAAATTTTCCATTTGTTGATGGTTCTCTAGATCCTCTTCCCTGGACCGGTTGTTGTGAACATTTTTTTGGGCCATCAAATGACTGTAGAGAAGGAAAGTCTCCTAGCCTCCTTCAATTCGGAAGGCGATGCCCAATTATGGTTTCTGAAATGAGAAAGATATCATCCAGCTTTGAATTGGAAAATTTTCAAATATTTCTGTCAATTACGTTTTGGACCACCAATACGGAGTAAGAAATGAGTGGAACTCAGTAAGTTACAGCATCATGGCACCCGTTGCAGAATATCACAATCAGTTCGAGCTTCTCTCAGCATAGGCCAGTGCGCTCACATTGGAACAGGAAGTGAAAACTTTTTTGAATGGATTGAAGGAAAACATTGCTGTGCAGGTTGAACTGCAGAATCCACGCGACTTAACCACAGCCATGAGTCTCGAGCACCGTTATGAACAACATTTGTCCAAACCCACTGGAGAAGAAGGTCTCTTCCAGCACCCTCTTCTCCCCCACAATCTGGTGGTGAAACGACTCTCACAGGCCAAACTCGAGCATTGCTGCACAGGAGGCGTTCATTTAATTGTGATGAAAAATTTAAGTCATGTATCAGTCTAAACGAATATTTTGGTTGGAATTAGAAGATAATGGCAATTCAGATTAACCGGCTCAAGATAATTTAAATCAAACCACTGACAGTTTTCCACTATCAACAACAGTATGTTGCCCAGCATTAGCGCTTAAGGAGAAGTGCCATTTGGAGGGGGGAAGTGGCGTGAGGGATTTTAGCCACTAAAAGAATAATAGTAATAATAATATTTCAAAATTATGTTATTTCTAGTTTAGGCATTTAAGGGTTTTTTCATGTGTTAATGAATATTTTATAGGTTTTATATAGGTATCTATATAAAAAAATTTCTGTCAACTAATTGTTCAACCAAGTCAAGGAAGATAAGGTTAGGCAGTTATGAAAGTTATTTATAAGCAGTGTAGCAGTTTTTGTAGACAAGTTTTAGTCTTAGCAGTAACTCTCTTCTGCCAACAACTAAAACTATTTATGCAATTTCTACCGTATAAATTTTCATTTTTAATCTATGAAAGGTATTGAAGGAAATAGTTAAAGGTATTGATTACTTATTTACTCAAGAAATCATAGGGTTCTCTATTAAGGAGTCCTAATTTACCTCAAAATAAGTAAAGGTAGGAAAACTCAAACGCACTAAAAAATTTCTGCAGATTTTTGTGATAGTTGTCCCATAACTAGGTCCGTCAGTAGGTACCATAACACATATATATGTAACGCTTCTCTGCTTTCTCATTACTGCAATTTTTATGAATCTAGAATTGCATCTTAAAGCTCTTACCTCAAGATGAAAATTAATGTGTTGGCAATGTATGCAACCATTTCCCTACAAAATCAGAATAAAAAAAAGATAAAAAAGGATTGAGACATGATGCTCGATTGCAGTTTGGAATTGTAATAACAAGGTTATCTATCTATCAACATTTAAATTATAGAGATACTTGAGAACTAAGAAGCTAACATCTTAATGCTGACAACTGGAACCACCAGATTTCAAGTAGGTGTGTTTTCCTCTCTTAATCATGCACTCCTTCAGTTGTTTTTCATATCATTACAACTATCACTATCAGTATTATGTTTAGCCCTTCATATTCTACCACAACGATTACCACTATCATCACATCTCCATCACTGTTGTCACAGCAAGCAATACTCCTACCTGTGCTCTGAAAAACTACGACTCCAAAATTTCCTAAAAATATTTTTAACCAAAAAATCACCAATAACAACATACTAATAAATCCCCTTGATCCCAAAACAACTAATAACACAACCTTGATAATTCTAAAGAACAAGATTTTCTTTCATGGCTGATCATCACATGCAAATAAACATGTGTCTCTGTAAATAAGTAAAACATGAAATATATATTGTAAGCTCCACTCAAGCCATCCCTTAATAATAGTTTATTTTCCTCCTTTTGTCCCTAGAAGGTGCATTTAACATATTATGAGCTACGCCATATGTCACTTTCACATTCAATGTGTATAAGCAGCAGTAAAAACAACTAAGATATCCAAAAAGGAATGGAAAGGCCCAAATATACCAGAAGTTTACTTCCTTGGGAGAGCTTGTCCTGCTCTAGTTTGTATTTTTTCCTTCCATCTAATTATATTTATTCTTTTATTATGCATATATATATATATATATATGGATATACCAGAAGTGATGCAAGCTTTGTTGTCCATCGCCCTTAAATGCTGTCTTTGCAACTGCTGCATAAAACCTGTTCACAAATTGCAATATAAAGAGAACTGTTTTCTTCTTCTCTTTTCTCTTCTGATTCGAGAAAGAAAGAAGATGTTTTTTCAAGTAGCAAAAATATGAGGGAAGGGATATCTTTTTCTCAAGTAGCAAAAATATGAGGGAAGGGATATCTTTTTCTCAAGTAGCAAAAAGATGAGAGAAACCAGTTTTAACTTACATTCCTAAAGTCATAACTGTCAGCACACCAGAAACCTCAGCACCTTCTTGAGCCTATAACATAAAAAGCTTCTCAAATTCTTTCCCAGAATAGATAAACACACAGAAAATGTAATCTAAATTAGCAAAGTCCTAACTGTAAACATGCTCATCACCTTTTGTAGCCTATAACATAAAAACTCTTCTCAATTATTTCACACAAAATATAAACTAACATAAAATTATATTTAAATTTTGTGAAATCAGCGACAGTTCCTAAAAACATTATTAGAGTTCAACAATATTTTGATTTTGACTATAGCATGCAATATAGTAACTGGAAAAAATGGCAGAAACATATCTAGATTTAAGAAAAAAAGTACCCGCTCAAAAAGAGATATCAATACTATGTTTGTTTGCATGATTTTTCGTTTAATGCAAGTCAAAGTCCAAAATCTTGATGCAATTTGTCATTTTTTTCTCTTATTCTTTGCAAGATTTTATTCTTTAACATATCCTGCATTCATCCTCACTCAGTAAATTTCTCAGTGCACAACTAGATAAGGTTTGTTGAAATTCAAAACTTAGGGATATAACAAGTCTCTTGGTTATCTGAATGAAGAATATTTAATTATATATTTGCATCGGAATGAGGTCTGTAACTAAGCATAATTTTTATAAAAAAAAATAACTGTTAGACAGACAGTTCAGTTTCTTTCATGATATTGGAATCAGACAACATCAATATGGACAAGGAAATTGACTGCACATCAAAAAACATGAAAAACTTGATGAATTGATTGTTCAATGATAAGTTTAAGCAATTGAACACTTAATCAATTGTACAAATATGTTCGTGGACTTGGTACCAATAATTTTAATTAAGTGCTAAGTTTAAAAGAGAAAAAGGTCATACAGTGAAGTAAGCAATATAGCTCACTGCAAGCGTCAGTGTGATCTCTATCACTGTGTCGTTGAAAATAAATCCGAGCCATAGAACAGATGCAAAGCCAAAAGCAAGACCAATGCCCACACTGAACCAAAATCTGAACCTTATAACCATACTATAAGAGTATGCCTGTCAACATTCTTTGTTGAGAAGACACGATACTTACGCTCCAAGTGCAACTTGACTCAGAAACTTGACTATGGCACCCCAGTTAAAGCTTTGTCCCATCACCATCTTAAAGAAAAGTTGGTACACCACAATTGCTGTCCTGCAGTTGCAAAGAAGGCAGATACAAAGAAACCAAATGGTAAAATGCATGAACTATGTGTCTCAGAACAAATATTTGGGACTTGTTAATCAAAAATTCTGATTGGATTATGCAAAGAACTGTACATTGGCCACTTATACTAACTCCATATTTTAAGTCCTTGTTGCAAACTGACACTTTGGGCTTTTGTGTTATATAATTATTCGTTCTTATAAATTTACCAGAACTCTTTGTCTGCTAAGGATTTAGATAAATTTCCTATGGCATTGTAAATGACACTTGGGCCAGTTGTGGCTCAAAAATGAAAACCAAAATTATTATATTGAAGAAGCCTTACTAATCCAGTTTGAGTCTCACCATCCTTCACCTAACCTTGATAAGCAAACCTGGTACCTTAAATCTTCGAGTACATAATTTTGTAAATTTTTTCACACCTTTTTTATTATGTTTCTGTTTCTTACTCATACGAAACTGTATATATAAGACCCCAATATTCAATAAAAAATTTATATTTATTCTTTCACATAGTATAAGAATTCTAAAAAAAAGAAAACTATAACCTTCTTTTATAAATCCTAATTAGTTTTAATTGTTGAAATATGAAGAAACCCGGAAGGAGTCAGTCTTAATTGCCGGCGACAACCACCCCAGCCGTCGGCCACCACAGACCCGCCACCAACCACCAAGACCAACCTTCATTGCAAGCTTCATCTCTCCAACTGCTCAGCAAAACTCTATCCAGCTCAATCGCACATCACTCTACGCGCCGCTGCTCCAGCCTCCAGCCCAGCTGCAAGCAACCCTGTGTACCACTGCTATTCTTCCTTGCTCTATCGCCAGCCTAGCCGCTGCTCCCTTCAACTATTGCTCCCTAAAGTCACATGAATCACCAAGAAAAGCCAGTCGTGCACCCCACATAGCCAGCTGCACCAGCCTCCAGCTGCACCAGCCTCCAGCTGCATCTATCCACCTCAGCTGCCTCCAACTGCGTTTGTGTTCCAGTCGGCTCTACAACAGAGCTGCCATTATTTCTGCCCATTCAATGCCAGCCCAATATTCTTTTTGTTTAACTAATTTAATTGTCCTTAGTTGCCCTACAAAAGTTACATCATGTCAGAGATTATGTCTCAAGTTACTGGAGCAAATCCCCATATGGAAAATTCACCACAAATCAATTAAGAATTTCAGCCAATTCAAGTGTCTATCACTTGAATGGTAATGGAAAGCCCAGTTCCTTAGAGCTCTGCTCGCCATTACTTTATTGGCCTTGAAGCCTTGTAAATACCAAGGGCGGGCCTTTTCTCAGGGTCCAAACAGATTAGAAGTGCATGTTTATACTGTCCAATTCTACTATGTTTCTGACCTGTCATGTCGACCCACTTTTCTTATCTGTAGTCGTGCTGGTCAACAGAGACACATAGAAATAAATGCTGGAGTTGAGGATTTGCCTCGACAAAATCCTCTTAACACAAGCTACATCCATTACAAAGCAAATTATGCGGCTGAACCTTCGACTGTTTGAAAACTGAAATTGGATGCTCATCAGCCTCATTGGCTCCTTCTAGTACTAGATCTCCACCAGCATGGTAGCCCGATGAGCCCACCTTGGTAGGGATACCTCCCTATATCAGAACCTCTCCCGCGTCGACCCAAAGTACTGGATCGAGAAACTGCAAATTTTGGTGATCCCTGCATGGCACACATCATGTACCACCATGATATTCCCCGGTGACCTTGTGGTATACAGATTCTGCATTGGAGTTGTGCCTTGATAAACCTTGTCAACTACGTAAATCGTCCTCCTCTATTCTTATGCACCCCCACCAGCATATAGTCATTCTCTCTTCGACAGACAGGTGAATGGATCAGCTCCTCATTATCCAATAATTTCAAAATGTTTCCCAGCCATTCCGCTTCAGCTTGGCTGAGAGTGAGCACAAACCTTTTATTCAGCAGTTTTTATTTTATCTTGACACCTCTTTGTTTTCCCTGACCTCCACCATTTCTTGAAAGAGTGAATATCTTCCGCTCGATTCAGAATTCCATCGTTAGACCTTCTTGTATCACCATGACCTTCTTGTCATCATCCTCAATTAATAAGAAAACTAATCATGCTCATCTTATTTAGAACAGAATCTTTCCATGGGCTATATAAAGCGTGAATGAATGAATGGTCAAATTAAAAAAGTAAAAATAAAAAATAAAAAGAATGATCAAATAAGAATGACATGGAATATCAAATAGGAGAACCCAGGTGCTCTAGATGAGACATAGGCATGAAGCCTAAAGAAAAAGAAAAAGAAACTAAGAGGGAAGATGTCTACGGGGTTGACTAACCTAACCAAAGAAAAAGCAGCTATTAGGTGTTGTCTATTTCACTTAAGTTTTTTTTTCTTTTATTTTTGGTAATAAAAAAAAAACAATATTGGTGTT